GATCATACCGGGCAACACCTTCGATCCTTCAGGCCGAGGCCTCACGATGGGGACACCACGGTTTGGGGCGGGGTTCGCCGAGCTCCAGGGAAGCGGCCACCCAAACGACAGAAGCCCGGCAGCCATCGCCGGACATGGGTTATGGTCGTACTTGGGGCCATCAGACAACGCCACTGTCAAGGCTCATGGGCCGGCGAGTGGCTACAGAAGACAACCAGACCTCAAGGACCTGGCCCTACGGAAATTGAGCGAGGACAAGATCAACAAAAGAACGTTGGGTCGCTCCCCGGGCCTCTTCTTGGCTGGCAACCCGGCGGCTTTCACCCTCGCTCCGAAGGTCAGGCCCAAGCCACCCGATCAGGAAGTGCCCTTCGTGACCAAGGCGAACAACGGCAAAAAGTTCAAGGCGGCCCTCGACATCGCCCGCGACCCGGACGCCCTGGAACACGCGGTTAAAGAGCTCAAGGCCAAGTTCTTCGCCGACTCGAACAAGGAGCCGCAAGCGAGGAGGGAGTGTGACGTGCTTGAGCTGGCGGCGACTCTCTCAAAAGCGGCCCCGGCATTTCCGCTCACGGCCGATTTGGTGGTGAAGTTCGGCGCGAGCCTCCGCGCAGCGGGCTTCAAGTCGGGCGACCAATACCTAGGTGCTCTTCGGCTAGTCCACGTGGAACGCGACCACCCGATCACACCTGCATTGAAGAGGGCTTTCGATCTGGCAAAGAGGGCCATGGGCCGAGATCAAGCACCACCTAATCGAGCCCCCGAAGTGCAATTGTCCGACTTCCCCGACGACGCCGACCTCCACAACCTCGTGACGGGAGAGCTGGCCTTTCCCAAGTTCACCTACGGCATCGCCCTGATGTTCATCCTCCGGCGCTGCGAAGTGGAACGCTTGAAGTGGGAGGACCTCACGATCGCCCCCGACGGCATGCAGGTCACAGTACGCATCAAGAAGTCCAAGACGGACCAAGCCGGGAAGGGAGTGAGCCGCACATTGGGCTGCACATGCCGCTCAGACCCCGATCACTGCCCAGTGGAGCTGGTCAAGGCCTTTGCTGCAGCGTTTGACAAGGTCTTGGATCGACGCGGGGGCAAAGCCTGGGTGACTTCTTCCACTGAGGGCCTGCAGACCACCGAGGACAAGGTCGTGAAGGCATGGGCTCGAGCAGCTGGCAAGTCCCTAAGGGGCCACAGCCCGAGACGGTCGGGCACCATGTACTACGTCAGGGCGGGCCTCTCCATCGCGCAGGTGACCTACTTGGGACGCTGGCACTCAAACCTCGTCTTCCAGTACGGAGAAGAAGCTTGGGAAGGGCGCCCCATGAATGTCGGGCACCCGAATGGCAGCTTCGTCTCGGTTCCTCAGGGCCACCCTCCCGAAGAGAAACCACGACCGCAGGACCGCGAGAAAGTCATGGCGCCCCCAGCATTGCCGGAGGCCTCGCAGCGACAGTTCGTGGAAGACCTCCGCACCGACCATCCGAAATGGGTGCGCACATCCGGGCGGTCCAAGGTCGCGCACCTCCTCGGCAAGCACACCGGTTCTTCTTCGGCTACATGGAAAACCAAGTGCGGCTGGCCGTTCGCGAGAGCATGCCATTTTACCTTCCTGGTCAACCCCCCTCCAGGCATTCCGAAATGCAACAAGTGCCGAATCAACCTCGACAGATCCCGCGGCAAGCCAATCGGAGTCGGAAAGCGGGAACCAGAGCGACCTACGTCCTGAGCAACCCGCCGGATTTGACGCATCGGCAAAAGTGATGTGCCACTGCATCTTCTGAAGGGTTGGAGGGCGGGAATATGAGTTTGCAAGAAGTGCCGTGAAACGCAAGAATTGCGTGAGGGGCACGAAGTGCATAATTGGGCGGTAGGGTCGGGAGCTGCAGAAATGAAGGCAGCCATGAGGACTCAAAGGGTCTCCGGAAGGCCCGTAGTCCGGAGGCTGCGAGCATACGTTTCTCCCACCCACCCGCCCGGAGTCGGAAAGCGGGAACCAGAGCGACCTACGTCCTGAGCAACCCGCCGGATTTGACGCATCGGCAAAAGTGATGTGCCACTGCATCTTCTGAAGGGTTGGAGGGCGGGAATATGAGTTTGCAAGAAGTGCCGTTTTACGTGCTATTAAAGATTAATATGTAACAACATATAGTCATATGTAATAACAATATGTAATAATTGTAATAATGTGTAGTAATATGTAAGAATGTTTAAGATTTTGTACTAGTATAAGAACGTAAAAAGAATATGTACAAAAAGGGGCCATAAGCAACAGTGACACGCAATAATATGGAACAGCATGTAGTGATTTGTAATGATATGCAGCATTGTGCAAAGGTATGTAATGATGTGTAATAACATGTAACATTATGCAGTAGCATGCAATAACATGCAAAAACATGTAGTACTGTGTAGTAGTATGTAATATTGTGCAGACATTTGTAACCACATGTAGCACTATTCGGCATTATGCAGTATTACGTATATGCAATACTATGTAGTATTGTGTAGTAATGTAAAGTAACATGCATTGGTACGAAATAGTATGTCGTAATATGTAATAAGATGTAACAATCTGGAATACTGTGTGAAAATTGCGAAAGCATGCAGGAATGTGTGCCAAGATGTAGTGATACGTAGCAATATACAATGCTGTGTAATAACATGTGATGAGATATGTTGGTAAGTAGTGTTTCAAAAAATGCAATGGTAGTAACAAAATGCAATAGTATGCACTAATATGGAATGGCATGTAATAGTGTGTAATAGTTTGTGGCAGTATGTAATCATATGGAACAGTATGTAATAGCACGTAATATTATGTCATCGTACGTAACAGTACGTAAGACTACGTAGTAATGTGGGATAATACGCAGTACGTAGCATGCAAAAGTATGTAACAATCTGCAACAATGTGTAGTAGTGTGCAACAGTAGACAGCAAGATGTATCAACATGTGACATAATGTAGTAATAGTAGGCAATGTTGTATGATGATGTGTAACAGCTGGTATCAACATGTAATAGCCTAAGTAGTACCATATGATAATATGGAATATTATGTAGATTTGTAATCATTCTGTAACCATATGTAGTCAGATGTAGTAATATAGCCATATGTAGTATTATGTAGTGGTACGTAACAATGTGCAGTAAAATGTGGTAATATGTAGTCATATGCAGTAGTATGTAGTATTATGTAGTAATATGTAGTAATATGTAGTAATATGTAGTAATATGTAGTAATATGTAGTAATATGTAGTAATATGTAGTAATGTGTAGTAATATGTAGCAATATGTAGTAAAAGGTAGTAATATGTAGTAATATGTAGTAATATGTAGTAATATGTAGTAATATGTAGTAGTATGTAGTAATATGTAGTAGTATGTAGTAATATGTAGTAATATGTAGTAATATGTAGTGATATGTAGTAATATGTAGTAATATGTAGTAATATGTAGTAATCTGTAGTGATATGTAGCACTATGTAGCTATGTGTAGTGGCATGTAAAAAGATTTAACACTCTGCAGTGTTATGTAGCATTACGTAGGAATATCTGTTAACATGTAGTAGTATGTAACAGCATGTAACCGTAACAAAAGCATGTAACGTGAAATCAAATGCATTAGTATGTAAAAGTATGTAACAACATGTAGCGACACATGACAACGTGCAATAATATGTAACAGTATGGAGTGATGTGTAATTATATGTAGCAGTATGAAATACTGTACATAATGTTGTGCAAGCATACATGACCATACACAAGAGAATATGTCCTCGCATCTGCGCAACCCAGAATGGAATACACAAGTATTTGCTTAACATAATTTTATCTAGTGTCAAAACCCACCTTGGGATACCAGTTATCCTGCCATAAGCGGCGTTTATCTGCGAGTCGCAAAAAATATCCTACAAGTTTTAACCCTCTTGGCTCACAGCGAGCCCTAAGCAAAGAGGCACTTGAAAACCGTATAAGCCTGAAGCAACAGGCAAGGATTCAGACATGCAGTAGCGTTTATGCCCGCACTTTTCAATTTACATCGTCCTACAAGATCAGTGTAATCCGTGTTACAATGCTTTTGTCGGCCCAACAGGGTCGACATGGGTCGACAACATCTCCCTCGAATGTTGCCTTCCCGCGTTCATTGTATGGTGCCCCACCAATCCCTATTACAAGTCCTCGAGAGTCGTGTGTCTTCTGCAAACTTGGAAAGGAAGACTTCAGCCTGCCGGAGTCCTTATCAGTGTTGACATGGATCAGGGGTAACGATCAAGGGTGACGAAATTCCAGTTGAACTTGAGTATCTCCCGTACGATTCCACCGATCTGCAGTCATCGATCTCAGGACCCAAAGGCCACTTGTAGCTACTTTTCGTAGTTTGCATGAAAACATACCGTGTAGACATTACTGCATGCACGCAGACAGAGATACATTGACACATATTTATGTATACATATATACACACATACACATACAAATAGATACACACACCTTACATAGAGGCTCACTTACTCACATGCATACGTACACATTTACGACATATATATATATATATATACACACACATAGGCATATACATAGATACAAGACTGGGGTTCTCGTATGCATAGATGTAAGTATCTTACCTACCTATCTGCCTACCCACCTACCTACCTACCTACCTACATACTTACGTACATACATACATACATACATACACGTGTACATGCATACGTGTACAGACACATACACGCAGACTGTTACATGTACATGTATACCTACATGTGTACGCCCTGCTGCCCACCCACCGTACGGTTTGTTAGTCAAAGTTGCTTTGGATTGTGGGTCCGCCAGCCTATGTCAGAATTCTGGTCGCATGAGGGTTGAGGACTTGCGATGCTCTTCTATCGGTGGGGCTTCCTTGTTTGGATATATTTGCTTGAAGTTTAGTCGTGTTTGCTGTGCGAGTCCGGGTTCGCGGAAACAGGATGGATTCTAGAAGCTGCACCGGTTGCAAGGATGGTGGGCCTTTGCGTTGAAGATGCGCAGGTTGAGGCATGCAGCACTGCGAGCTTCGTACAGATGGTTGAGGGTCGAGTGAAGCTAAGCCTAGTTGCAGACTTGCCATCTCTGTCGTTTTCACATGCTACTGGGTGCAGGGTGCAGGGCGTGCGGCGAGATGTGCAGCGCCTGCGCCCAGCACCAAGCTCTCAAGCTCTTTCCGGTGCTGTCCCCAAGCCGCTGCTCCGCTGTCCTCCACACCTTGTAGCCAGGCATTGCCTTCAAGGCCTGGTTCGAAGCCGTGGCCGAACAGCTGCAAGAGGCCAAACGCAAACGCCTTGTCATGCCTACGCAGCGTGATTTGGATTTGGGGCGAGGCGGTGGCAGCAGCTGAAGCAGAGTTGCGGGCCATCAGTGTAAGGGGCCCAGCCCCGGCTAAGGTGGCATGACGTTGTTCCAGTGTCTCTTTAGCGTGAGGAGGCGGGCTTGGCCGCGGCAACGGAGCCGTTGACGCAGATGCAGCGGCGCTCAGTTCCTGAGTTTCATGACCCTAGGGCTGCGTGAAGCCTTTACGGCCATACGAACCGCAGGGCACCGAAATCTTGCCAAGATTCGGCCTGGGGCTTGGCATAAAGATTGGAGTGTGGATGCTGCTAGCAGACTTTGCTTCTGTCTCCGGCTTCCCAAGCTGTGGGCTCCTAGGAGGGTTTTTTAGTCCTAGTGCTGCTTGGCCAGCCATGGATGGCAAACGAGTGGGCGTGGCCACTGCGGCAGCACCGCTGCGATTCAGTCACCGGAGTGCCGAAAGTCGAGCAAGCTCTGGAGTTGCCCGACCCTCCTTCGTAGCACTCTATGTACTAGCTGACAGTGTTTCCAAGATCTACACTGATCTACCCATCCAGTGACCTTGCATCCCAGTGCCTAGATTCTGTGTGTTTGAAGAGGGCTCGACCATGCTCGATGTGATTGCTAATCTGACCATGCAGAACAACTGCAGAGTGTCTGACATGCCTGAGGTATCTGCAGCCTGTGCGACAATGATTTGCACAAGCAGGCCGGCCATAGGCTTCATGCTTGGATGTGAACATGGGTGCACTCTTTAAGGTGCTTCGTTGGTGGACGGGGTGGAGAGGCAAGCCCAGTAGCCAGACTGCGGGGCCCCGCCGTATCCACAGGCGCACCCAGAACTTGCGAGATCCCTTGCGAAGTTCTCGGTGATCACCTTTGGAAGGCCCTCAGCAGGGAAGCCCGCAAAGCAGCTGGCTGCCGGCTTCGGTCGCAGTGGTTTCTGCCTTTGCCGCACTGCGGATGCAGCGAAAGTCCACCGCGGGGTAACTCGTTTGCCTTAGCTAGCATTGGACGCAGACCTGTCTGGACTCCGTGTAATTCGAGGCGTTCGCACATAACGCGCCATGCAGATGGCCTGGCCGACTGTCCGTACGCATTGTACGGCCTCTTACTGAGACCTGAGACTTGACCTCCTGCCATGTGCGACGTCCCTCCCCCCGCAATCCTGGAGGTCAAAAAGACATAGACATTCCAAAAGAACGTCAGGAGCTTGAGGCAAATAATGCTCGGGCATTCAAGAGGTTCATCTTTCCTTTTTCGTGCCTTCGGCAGGCGCCCAGTGGCCCGAAAGAGATTCGAATGCCTGAAGAGCTGAAAGGTGACATTGAGGTGCCTGAACACAAGCCGGAGTTGACGTGTCTGTCTCAAGCTTCACCAGCACATGCGTCGATAAGCTTCCATCCTCAGTGATCTCCGTATGCTGGGTCGTTCTCTGAGAACCCGCATTGCCAAAGTCTGGAGTGTCAAATCAACCACCGTGGTATTCTTCGTTGAGCCCTGAACTAAGCGTCCCTAAGTCGGCACAGCTCTGCGAAGACTTCTATCTGCATTTTTTCACGGCTATCAGTGCAACCCGGCCTTCGCTTCAGCACGGCAGTTGGTCCACTCATGTCCAATCATCCACACGGAAAATACGGTCGTTGGTTTCAGTATGCAAGAGTCGTCCCCTCACCAGGCGCAGCGCAAATTCTTCTCGTCCAACTTGCCGCAAATCTACAAGGTGAGGATGATTCGTTTTTTTGGGGCTTCGTTGTTGGTGTGTGGGTTACTGGGTTACTGAACAAACGCAGCCATGCCCAGGACCTTAAGACGAACGGAGCCGTCGTGTTTCGCGGTTTCGAGATCTCCAAAGACAAGGCAACCTTTGGCCAGGCGGGTGCGACGAGAACCAGGGGCCCAGAGTGCAGCCGTCCAGCAACGGCGCTCGGCTGCGATTGCTCAGCCATCCACGCCTGCAGGTGGGGCAGGCCCTTGAGCTCGACCCCTGTGAGGACAGAAGACGGGAGAGCGCTGAAGAGATGCTTGTTGCAGTTGCTCTCCAGCATCTGTAGGCGCTGCCACAGGACCCATTGCACTCAGTGGCGGCGCGAGATGCTGTGGACAAGAAAGCAGGTGTGTATGAGGCAGTGAACAAGCCGCAGAAGACTCAGTCGGGAGGAGTATCAGCAAAACAAATGTCCCAACAAAAAGATACTCCCGGTTCTGAGATCCCGCAGCAAGTTCTACATCGGCATGCACAACGAGCCGCGCGGCTGTAGCACAAGATGCTGCAAGTATACATTTCTCAGGCAATGTAGTAACACTATGGGGCTCTTACGTTGGGCGTAGAGAATTTATTTGATGAGCGCAAGAGGCGGCGAGCTGCCAGTCCGGCCGTTCCCGCGGTCGCGCATTTTCGACTTCTCGTAACAATCGGCCGGATTCGTTGTAGACTCCGATATCTTCTGGACTCTCGTGCGCATTTGGTTTGCTGCGCTCCCAACACCGTGCGGATTTTGGTGTGCTCTCGCCACAGCGGACTCGAAGTTTCTGAAGTGTTGGCATCGGGGCTCGTCGGTTTGGTGTCGCAGTCCCCTGGCACAGTTGGGAACCGTTTCCGCAATTGGAATATTCACCGTCACCGCGAAAACTATAGGGTGAACCCCTAATATGTTCAGTTCTGTGGGTGCAATCACTGAATGTACCGATGGTGCTATGTGTGATGCAGGTGTCGGCCTCTAGGTTCGATGAATTCCAGGAGGAACGACTTGCATACCTGGAGCTGAGAACATGATGGTTGCTTGAACATACAGTCCTGCATGTTTTGGGTGGTCCTGGATCCTGCAACGTGAATCATGGAATGGGTCTTGGGTATGTAGAGCTTGCGCGGTGTTCTTGCGTGACATGTTGCAACCAGGATGGTCGGCGACAGAGCACCAGGTGCAGCTATGTTTGTGTGCTTCAAGGCTGGATCCGCCTTCGCATGCATCCATGAATCACAGAACTGATGTGTCCGAGCGCATACGTTGGGTGCCTTGTTTTGTGTGTGTGTGTGTGTGTGCACGTGCTGCTTCACGGCAACTTGCGCCTGCTGCTCTTTCATCGCGAAAAGAACAGAGTACTAGTAGCGTTTGTACCACCTTTTCCGTATTATGTTTCTGTGGTGGTACTGATATGGCAAATTTTCGAGTTTCGCGCCCCGCTTTAGGTTTGCGAGCAGGCAGAGGTTTTGCTGCTGGTTGTGCACTCTCGCCGTTGAATGCATCATTGCGCTCTGGATGAGCCTGGATGTGGTGGATGGCTGCATTTTCGTATCGTCCTACAGGTTGAGAAAGCCCCAGGGCGTTGTTGACGAACTGAAGCATCAACTGTCATGTTTACACGATTTTCTTCCAGGCAGCTGGTCTCTTCCTCTGTCTTCTGCCCTTTCCTTCCATGGCACCCCCAAAATGCTGCCGATGAGTGCCCTCCCGTCTCGGTGTACAATCTAAAGTGTTCCGTAGAGCCTTCAAACCTCGGTCCGTCTTGGTTTGCAGGGATGGCTCTACTGCCAGTAGCACAGTTCTAGTTTGGGATTCTGGTGATTCTAATCGAAGTTTAAGCCGTGTGCCCGCGCGAGACACTCAGTTCTCCAACGAAGACTTCAGCAAACTGCCGATCCATTAAGAAGGGTTGTGTTGAGATGTGCATCGGTAGTGCAAGTCTGTTGATTAGTTGTTCATGAGCCAGGCGGCCGAGCAGGGTGGTGAATTCCTGATTGCAGATGGCCGCAAGACTCTCGTCAAAATTAAAGTCCAAAAGTGGAGTTGGGAGGTGGCTCTTGCAACGCTGTCCTTGTGCTAGAAACTCTGCCAGGATGTTCAAGGAGCTGGATGAGGCAGGCAGAGGTTCACACGATGGCAGCATCTTCCGATGCATCTGGCCTGGCAGGGATGGCTCCAGAAGGTCTATGATTCAGTCGCTTGTCTCAGTGCTAAGCGGGCATGCCTTGAAATGACGCATTCACGGATGGCAGCACCAGGATGTGGTTTACTCAACCGCAGAGTTCCCCATGGGTTTCATCGAGAGATCTGGCTGCACTAAAGTGCCGGAGGCGTGTCGCCGCTGTAGACCCGGTGTAATTCCAGAGCAGCTGAGGAGTCTGCCAGAGTTTGTGCAGCCAGCAGTTGAGCCGCTGGCCTACGGAGCCCTGACGCAGGCCTCCAAACACTCACAGACATGTGAGCATTTTCATGCACCTTCTCATTGACAGGCGTTGAAGATGAAGGCGGCCGGCCTCGAACATAATTGGATGCTAGACGCATGCCTGGTGCAAAGCTTGCCTGGAGGTTGATTTCAAGACGGAGCTCCGATGGGAGAAGTCAGACTATGATGGCAGCAAGATCTTGCAGGTCAGGGTGTGTGGCGCAAACTAAAGCGGATGGGGCCCGTCAAACAGGTACGGGCGATGCCGCAATACCCTGTAATCCGCCATCATGCCACGGGAGAGCCGTGTTGGTGGGGTTCTATGCATTCGCATGCAGCCGCCCGGCTGCAAAGCTGCAAATATGGCCAGGCTCAAGTCTTGACGCAGACGTCGAGCCTGCCTGCATGCGCAGGGGCATTTTTGTGTCGTTTCCCCAAGGAATACTTGCGGTCCGAGCGCGAGAAGGTTTTCGGAGAAGCGCAGGCAAGCTGAAGATTGAATTCGTGACATCGTCATGAGCATTGTGCATGAGCGATGCTGCCCCAGGAGACAACTGGGGCGCTCCTTAGATTGCCGTCAGTAAGTTTTGGTTCATTTTCTCCAAGCAGGAACCAGCAGATTTTCGCAAATCTGTGCAGCCTTTTGCTCTCGGAGTTGATGATTTGGACCCCGCCTTGTCTTTTCCTTGTCTTGTCATCATGCTGTATCAGAGCGAGTCTGAAGCATTCGTTTATTCTCAGGTCCAGAATAAATAAAACCGATGTGTTCTATGGCAAAAGTGGCGACAAGGTGGAGGTGCGAAGGGCATTTGCCATGGAGCCCAGTTTGTTTGACAAGTCGTGTGCTTTCTGTGGCTGCAGGTCGATTGGCTAAAGCACTTGGACAAGGTGACCCTGGACTGTGCCATCAAGGTCAAGATGGAGACCGCTTCTGAGATTCTGATACTCTGAGTAGCACGAAGGGACCCAACCGTTGCCCAGAAAGGCCCGGAGACATGGTTCTGCTGGACAACTATCTGGTGATGCATGGTCGGTGTCCATTTGAGGGCACACGGCTGCATGCTGTGTCCTGGTTCAAGAGCGTTGGCCTCAGGTCGAACAGCTTTCTGCTCCATTTTACTGCGCGCTTCGGCGACACACCTCGGAAATCCTCGGAATCCGAAATGCCAACGAGCTCCACCCACGGATTCTTGTGTCAACACCTGAGACAGCTCCCAAAAGGATTCGACCTAAAACGAGGAACCAGCCAAAGGGTGGATTACAGATGTTTGTAGTGCTGCCCGAAAGGTTTGCCAGCTGCGGGAGTGCATACTGCTTGTTCATTCGGATGTGCCCCAGCATGTCGTTCGCTTTGCATGTTCGTCTGACAGCTGTCCAAGAATGTTTAGAACGGAAGGCTTTTGACGTCTCATGAACCATGAAAGCCTGCGTATGCAGCAGCACAGTAGGACTAGCATCTGTGAAGGAGGCATTGAGAGGTGCTGATACTCCGATGGTTCTCGATGCTGGTGAAGCCACCCAAGAGGCCAAGAGACAACGGCTGGAGCATGTTGGAATCCGGCATATGGGAATCAGACCGCAAATGCCATCAACGCAAGGAGACGATGTCTCAGAGGAACTGACGACATCCCAAATTGATCGACATATCTCGTCTGTAGACCTTGTACCCCGACGCTCACAGTCACCGGACATCGGACCAGCCGCGCTGGACTCTGTTCTGGAACCCGGGTTGAGTAAGACCGACGGTGAGCCTGGCAGCACCTCTCCGTGCACAGCTCGCGAAGGTTTGCACTCACCTGCTGTGAAGGCTCCAGGCAGGTTGGGTGGAAACCTTGCGAGCCAGAGTGCGGAAGCTGCTGATAGTCCAGACCTTGGTGCTCTTCGGATGGCTAGGTCGCTCCCAAGGAACTACCGGTGGGTAGGCTTCCGGCAGGGCTGCCCTAGCGAAGGCTCCTGGCACGCTGGTCCTGGCCCTTCAAAGCTTCAAGCCGAAGGGAGCAAAGGCAGCTGGCCAGAATCGGCTTGAGTCAGCAGGATGATCATGTTTATGAGAATCAAATTACGCCGAGAGATTTAAAGCAGTACATGAACATCATCGCTACCCACCTGCAGAATGAGACATGTGTAGCTGAAGCACGGAAGGGCGCCTCGAATGCTAGGAAGGAAGCAGAGGCCGGGAGGCGGCAGACAGAAGAGTAACGAGAGCTCTGGCATCGGGCTGAACTCGCCCAAACGAGGGCGGAGGCCTTCGTTGCAGGCTTCCGATGAGCACAGCAGCAGCAGCAACAGCTTCCATTTAGGCCTGAGGCTGCATGCGCTCTCACACCTGTAAATGTTCATCTCTGAAGTTTGAAGGAGAACACCTTGCTTGCCTTGCATGCCGTGTGCTCGATGTGGTGGATGCCTAGAGTATGCCTAGGATCCAAACACCAGCAATGAAATGCATGCATGATCTCCTCAGTAGATTATGCGTTCCTTGCGTATGCCTGTTCAGCACGGATTCTGCAACCTGAAGTGTTAGGCCAGAGATGCCAAAGGCGCTCGGGCTCGTGTTTCTACCCTGGTGTAGAAGCAATCCAGCTTCTGCAGTGGCGCCGTAGCACTGCGGGGTTCTTCATCCTGTTGGCATTAGCCGCCAGCTTTCCCATACGTGTCACGGGCTGTACTCTCTGTGGCCTGTGAGCAGTGCGGAGTGCTCACATCACTCATCTTGGTGTCATCAGCCATTGCCTTGTCCAGAGCTGAGGGCACTTCCCCCGTCGCAAAGATAGCCCGACATCGGACCAATGTGTACAGGCGGAAGGGTGCCGAGCCTCAATTCGTTTCCATGGGAATGGGAGTGGGACTCGGCTATGCCCGTCCCCAATCCGGGTAAGATTTTTTCTAGGGTGGAGTTCCGCGCGAAATCGCACGCAGACATGCACAGATGCGGATGCGTTTTTTGGAAACCTTCAATTTTGCGATGCATGCGAGGATCTGGTCTGTATTCAGGATGCCAGCAGTGAGTAGACGTCATGCAGTATGGCCTAAGCCCTAGCCAGTTGTGTAAATAAGTATATATATATATATATATACATATATATATATATATATGTTTACGTACATATGTATATATATATATATATATATATATATATATATGTGTGTATATGTATATATATATATATGGATTGCATGTCCATCTCTATCTTTACCTGTATCTTTATCCCCACCGATCTTTGTCCCTATGTCTATCTTTTGTCTCTATCTCTATCCTTGTCTCTATCTTTATCTTGGTTTATATCTATATCTACATCTTTACCTATATTTGTATCTATATCGGTATTTGTATCCCCAGAGCTCTATCTCTATCTCCGTCCGTATCTTTATAGTATGTGTGTCTATCTCCATATCGATCTCTATCTCTATCTCTATAATTATGTCTATATGTATATCTACTTCTATATCTTTTTCTTTATCTTTTTCTATATGTATCTTTTTCCTAGACCTAGACCTATACTTTTTCTTGACCTATATCTACATCTGCATCTACATCTATATCTACATCTACTCTATATCTGTATCTACATATATATACAGATCTAGTAAAGCCCTTGCCCGAACGACTGTGTTGTCAGTGTTTCTGGTTTTAAAGTGCCAGATTGCTGTTCAGAACTTGATGACGTCCAGTAGTTTCAAAAGACGTCAGAGCGGGTCACATTCGACGGATTTCCAACGTTCGTGGAGACACAGTTGCCAATCATGTGCTCTACTTGCAAGCGTTGTTTGTTGCTCGCCCAAGCTGGGCTTTGTCGCGCCTTGTCGTTTTGTAGGGTCGAGGGTTTTCGAATCACGTGCTGGGGTGGTTCCGGACACGTGACAACACAAAGAGACAGTCAAGTCAGCCTGCAAAGAGTGTCCTGATGCGCTCTCGCTGTTTGCCCTGCAAAGGTCCCGACTACACAAAGGCCGCGTAGATCCTCGATTGTCGACCCCTTTGAAGTTTTGGAGATTTTCCCGGAGTGACACGAGGGAGTGACGCTGCCTCTGAAAGATGCACTGAAAGCTGTGCAGAGGCCGTGGCCCATTTTTAACACTCTCGTGAGCTTCAGAAGCAGGTGTTCGAGTGTATGTCTATTTCGTCAATAGACTTCTCAAGCTTATCCTTAAACAAGATGGTCATTTCGGGCAGGACAGCAGAAAGACAGCTTTGTGGGTCATACTTGACTTGAAAGTCTTGCCCACTCGAGACAGTGCGGTCTCACAAGGCAAGATTGGAAGGCATGGTGCTTGCCATGGATGCAGGGAGCTCGGCCGATTCTGCAGTGGCTGCGCCGTTTCCCATGTTGGATTCGAGGTCGATTTCTTGGTGTGGGCTTTCAGCAGCTGGGCAGTGCTGTTCTCAGCTGGGCTCCCCTTTGCCGAGACATGAACATACTTCAGACTGAAGCTCGATTCTAACCATGTCAGCATGAAGTGGCCCATGCTTAGCTACTTGCGAGAGATATGCATCTTGGAATGATGTGCGGAGAAGCCGCAGAATCAGAAGCAGTGCGAAGTCGTTGCAGCTGCTCTTCGAAGAGACTACACTGAAGCACGGCCGGAGGCTTGGGCTCGTTTGACGAGGACATGACGGTGCTGGCTTAAACTGTTTCACTTCAGCCTGAGCATGCCTTGATCTCAGTATCAACGCGTGGAGGCTTGTTAATGATTGAATTCAGTGTGTTCGTATGAGGAGACCAGCCGGCAAAATGCTCGGTTGTCATGGACATTTTACGGACCCCCAGAGACCACAACACAACTTGGCGATCCTTGAAATTCGTGTGAAGCATTTCCGGCTCAAGCAACTAGAAGCACTGCAGTTTGAGGAGCAGGTTGGTGAGCAGAGCTGTTTGGCAGCCTTTTTATCCAACACTTGTCATCCACCTGAGAAGGGTCACCTCTAGCAAGGCTATGGATGCTTTTGTGCAGGCGCGCCGAGAAGTGATTTCTTGAGTCTCCTGCCGGTCTGAAGCTCTATCCAGTTCGAGATTGCTCTATGAGCTACCGGGCTCAGGGAACCGGATGCCCTTTGGCCTGATTACAGGCATGTCGTTGCCACGGCATGTACCACCAGGACCAGGAGGTGCATCGCGGGGTAATACGGCCGCAGGACCTACCATGCAACTCTGACAGGATACCCACTGCAAGCTTCCTGGCTGGCGCAGCCAGGATCGGCCCATGAGCATCCATCCATGAGCCAAGTGAACCGATTGCTTTCTGAGGACATGGCAATGGGTTGGCGGGATGTGCAAGGCGAGAACACCAGGCCGAAGCATTCTTGCAAGGCGCGTTGGCAGAGTGCGAGAAGGCATTGAACCGATGATAGGTTTACGACCACAAGTACATCTTGGCAGAGGCGGAAAGGAAGAAACAGGAGCAAAACCCGCTCCCGTTGCTTGCTCCAGCGAGGATGTTTTGCCCATCACCTGATGCATCAGCTAGCTACCGCATCTGTGACTCAAGACTGTCAGCAGGAAGTAGATGGGGGACTGGCCAAGCAGCTAGCCCACATCGACCTCAAGTGAGCCACACCATGATGAATCTCTGAGCCCGTGACCGTACCGTGTGACATCACAGGTACCAAGAAGAACGAGGCAACATCCTCAAGCAGGCCGGATGGTTGAAGCATCTGATTGGATTTGCACGGGTTTGAGCAAGGCTGAGAGCCATGCTCAGCTGGCCGAGAAAGAGGTGGCAGCGCAGGCAAAGGAGCGCCACGCATGGACCCAAGTTTCATCAGATTGAGGCCATGGGGTGTAGGGTTTTGCGTCCCTTGCGCCAAGGCTCAGCTGCAGCGCCAAGAGGACATTCAGGAGCTGAGTAGCTGCTGAGAAGCTACTGGTAGCCTGAGGGCATGTGATGTGATGTTGCGAGACCTGGCTAGGCTCATGCGATCGGGCACGAGGCAGATGCAGAGCTTTGCCCTCAGGCCTCAGACCAACCATGCCGCACTGCGGTGTGGCGCGAAGTAGGCATCTGGGCATACTTAGATACTTCTTGGCTTCTTGTCAGATCTCGAGAAGCCGTGCTCCAGGAAGGCACGTCTTGGACATGCTGCTGCCACGGCCATCGCCGCCCACATGGAGCAGCAAAAGGTCATACATTCTCACACTTTCGCCCTTTTGAGTGTCGTTGATCGGCAGGCTAGAGTGCACCAAGAAGCCCTTCGCGAAGCAGAAGACATGTGGAGGCGCCTGGCTTCCAGTCTCATGGCTTCGGGTATCATAGAAGTTCCCGCCTGGCCAAGGGAATCTCAGCGAGCTCTGCTGGAGAAGGTCGAGATGCGGGCTGCTTAAGAGCAAATTGCAGCTGCTTTGCCTTTCGTATGCAGGCTCACAAGGCAAAGATCGAGATCGCACAGTCGGCATGTTTGTTCTCGCTCCAGATACTCATAAATGCATAGATAGGGTCGAGCAAGCAAGAAGTACTGCATTCGGCAGCTGCGAATATGTCTCAAGCTTTTGCAAAAGTTTGCTAGCAGTTGCTTGTTGCCTTCTGCCGCATCTCTCGGGGTCCCGGAAATAGTTAGAGGCAAATAAAACAAACCGAGAGCATCGTTGCTAGACTGCACAGTAAGGGGCGGCTTCAAAGCGTTTTCTGGCCTGCTTCGAGTAATGGTCAGAAACGCGTCAGTCTAGGCTGCATTTTGGTATGACACGTCTTGGATTTTGAAGGCGGCCGCAACTCCATTGACATGCATAGGTTGAACGGAATCAGAGGAAGAGTTTGCGCGGGCCAGGCCGAGTACCGATACCCGGGCCGATACCTCCAAACGGTCGAACATAACTCGACAGTAGCTATAGGTATGTCATGATTTGTTTTGCATGGGGGTTATCTTCGTAGATGCCGCGCTGTACTTAGCATGTGTTTGCAAGCGTGCCAATCGCCAGAGCGATGTGTCGTCCGTCCGGAGAGCCGTAATTAGCACACCGCGCGCAGTAGGTCGCAGGACTCGAGCTTTGTTCTCAAAACAGAGTCATGGACAGGGCTGTACTTGTGTGGCCTACCGATGCCCCAACAGATACCCAGCCTGCACGTTTTGAAGCCCGAGGCCTTTTAGCCCTAAACCCGCCTACTTAGATTGGCAGCATCGTTGCATATGTAAGTACATATGTATGTACTTATGTCTGTACGTATGTATGTATGTATGTACGTATGTATGTATATATGTGTGTGTGTGTATGAGTGTGTATGAGTGTGTATATGTGTCTACACGTTGTATGTATATGTGTTACCAGGTTGTTTGGGGTAGGCTGCATGCAGTTGGATGGGGTTATGTTAAGGTCAGGTTAGGTTGGGTGAGGCGAGGATGAGTCGCTGACCAAACCCTCAACTTTCCCTATCATTTGCGTGAGGAATCACCAGTCCCCACCAAGTCGTCCGGCGTCCATCTTCGCCGAGCCAATGGTTGACAAAGTCTGCTGGATCTCTCGTGCCAGGAGCTCACGGCAAAGAGGCGCACAGCGGACATAGAGGAGCAGGCGCATCTCTCCTCACTGGGTGCCCTATGTATGAGTGAGGAAGCTTTCACCCTCCCCTCTTTCTCGTGGGCTTCCACACAGATTCACCAATTCGATCTGACACCGAAGGTTCGGGAAGCTTTGTCGGGTCCCCAGACATCAATTGCCAAGCCTGTCGTGCGCATGTGGCGCCTACTGTAGGTTCCTGTTCACATGAGGTCTCGTATCTATCTCTCGCCACACACGTCAACACTAGGACCACGGTTCGTCGAAAAAATCCTGGCGGCAGTTGCAGATGTGCTGCCTGAAGGACACAGGGTGCTGGGCCAAAGTCAGCGTCAGCCAGACCTGTGAAGTGGTGCCAAAGTGCAGCAGCAGGAAGCTTGAAAATTGAGTTGCCTCAGTCACGCCGGGACGATGCGACACCTCGCCGAGTTGCTCAATCCTCTACATTGCTGCTCAGCTCGAGGTCGTTAGAGAGCCATTGAACACAATATGACCGCTGGTCCGCAGAGCTCACGTGTTGTGCTGCCTGGAACAGCTTCAGCTTTCTTACGCTTAGGCATAGTAGCAAGGACCTCTCCTGCACAGAAAAGACGTTAATTAAGTGCAATGGAATCTGTGTCAGTCTGGGAGAAGGCCCGACACTGGAAGTGGAAGTGGCAATAGTGCAGCGAACGAGGAGTTCCTTTTCACTGCACTACATGAGAGTTTCTTTCGAAGGTCTGGCAAGAAGTACGGCTCTCGGACGGTGATTCTGGCACTTCCTTCTCAACCTGAGCATCGCAGGTCCGTTCCGGACTGGTCAGTGGATGCCTTGGCTAAGAGGGCTGGTCGCTGGTCGTCTTTCGGCCTTTGCCTCTGTCGAGGCTCGGTTGGAGCTGAAGCCATCCTCTTCCCGCCTCCACTTCAGAGAACAGAGCAGAGAGCGAAATGCAGTGGCCGTTCTGCGCCGCACAGCGGCCGGCGGAGCGCTGAGGATCGACACGCTGAAGCTGCAGCAGCAAGTCTACGGAGGATCTGCGAGCGGCCTTGGAAAAAGTCATGCATCGCATCTGCATTCGCATCTCTGCTTCTGCGACCGAGGCTGCCCTGGTCGCGTCGGGGTCTGAGCGACGACGCTTCTGCTCTGTGCTCTGTCTCGGGTACACCCTCGCCGCCAGACGTAGCTAAGCGAGCGTTCAACCGGAGTCTGCACGCAGAGCGCAAAAAGTCGAAAAACACAGCAAGTCGAAGAAGCAGGAACACCCACGAAGAAACAGAACAGCAAAAAGCCAAGCACGCGAATAAAGGCAGTCAATGTAAGTTCATTACTATTGAGTATATTGCTAACGTTGCTGCCTACTGCTATTCGTATTGCTGTTCTTCTCACTATTGCTACGGCTGTTAGTGCTACTCTTACAATCCTTTTCACTATTATTGCATTGATGTCCATAGCAGCGCGTAAATTTTGGGGTGCAGCGCGTGACGACGCGACGACGTGACGACGTGAGTTTCGCCACGACGACGTGAAGCGCGTGAAGCGCGTGACGACATTAACGGCGTCAACGGCGTCAACGGCATCAGCGGCGTCAACGGCGTCAACGGCGTCGACGACGTTGACGACGTTGACGGCGTTAACGGCGTCAGCGGCGTCAACGGCGTCAGCGGCGTCAACGGCGTCAACGTCGTCAGCGTATTGTTGGGTTCGCAGCGTCAACGGCGTCAACAGCGTCAACCAAGATTACGTATTGGCTATGGACATCACCGTATTATTGCTATACTATTGTACGACAGTCAAGCCATAAGGAGAAAAGGAGGACAGGAGATCCATAGCGCCCTTGCTCCGCTGTCTGACTTTGCAACCAGAGGCCACTTTCGATTTCCTTGGAATGTGGCCTGGTCTTTGACTATTGTGAATTTGCCAAATGGCATGCGTGCCATGTTGAACAACAGATAACAACAGTGGTCTCGGCAGCAGAGACTTCTGACTCTCCAAGGATAGTGTCTGCAGGAACCTTGGATCGTGGGTCGTTCGCTGCCGCAGGATGATCCTTTCTCGCTTCTTGCGATGGTGGCATCCCGCCATATGGGCTGTCTCGCATCGATATCCGCAGACGACATTTGCTATTACTACTATTATTGCTGGCAC